TACTTTACAGGGTATTCAGATTCAAAACACAGAGGATCCCCCTCTGGGAAAAACCTTAAAGTTACAGAAAACAGGAATAAACCTCCCTCTTAACACAGGGAAAATACACATAAAACAAAGGATAAACTAATCCACTTTGCCTGGCTTACCTATACTGGTTGCAATATTGGAGACTTGGATTAGGATGGGTTGGAGAAGATGCATTTCTGCCTGGCCTCTCTCAGTCCCAAGAGAGAACAAACACGTAAACAAAGAGCACAAACAAAAGCATTTCCCCCCACAAGATTTGAAAGTATCTTGTTCCTTTATTGGTCCTTTGGGTCAGGTGCCAGCCAGGTTAGCTGAGCTTCTTAACCTTTTACAGGTAACAGGATGTTGCCTCTGGCCAGGAGGGATTTTATAGCACTGTATACAGAAAGGTGGTTACCCTTCCCTTTATATTTATGACAAGGGGTAAATAGTGAGGTGGCAAAGTTTGCAGATGACACAAAATTACTCAAGATAGTTAAAACCAAAGCAAACTGCAAAGAGTTACAAAAGGATCTCAAAAAACTGGGTGACTGTGCAACATGGCAGATAAAATTCAGTATTGATACATGCAAAGTAATGATATTGGAATGCCTAATCTCAACTTTACATACAAAATGATGGGATCTAAATAAGCTGTTACCACTCAAGAAGGAGATCTTGGAGTAATTGTGAATAGTTCTCTGAAAGCATCTGCTCAATGGGCAACAGCAGTCAAAAAAGCTAACAATGTTGGGAACCATTAGGACCGGGATAAAAAATGAGACAGTAAATATGACACTATACAAATCGATGGTATGTTCACAATACTCTGTGCAGTTCTGGTCACCCCATCTCAAAAAATATATATTACTAATGGAAAAGGTACAGAAAAGGGCAACAAAAATGATGAAGGGTATGGAACAGCTTCTATATGAGGAGAGATTTAAAAGACTAGGGCTTTTCATCTTGGAAAAGAGACGACTAAGGGAACGATATGATAGAGGTCTACAAAATCATGAATGTTGTGAAGAAAGTGATTATGGAAGTGTTATTTACCCCTTTACATAACACAAGAACCAGGGGTGTCATAACCATACAGCTAAGGGTAGCCTAGAATTCCTCCTTCCCTGTAAGGGGTTAAGAAGCTCAAATAGCCTGGTTGGCACCTGACCAAAAGGACCAATGGGGAAACAAGATAATTTCAAATCTTGGGGGGGAGGGGGGGAAGGCTTTGTTTTGAGTATTCTCTTGGGAAGCAGAGAAGCATCAGGTTAGAAAACTCCTTCTCCTATAAACCATCCTAAAAGTCTCTCATATTACAAAAATTGTAAGTAAAAAGCCAGGCAAGACATGCTAGATTAGCTTTTGTTTTGCTTGTGAATTTTTCCTTTGCTGGAGGGAGGTTTATTCCTGTTTATTGTAACTTTGAAACTAAGCCTGGAGGAAGTTCTGCTGTGTTTTTGAATCTTTTGTTACCCTGTAAAGTTATTTTCCATCCTGATTTTACAGAGGTGATTTTTACCTTTTTTAAAAATAAAATCTTTCTTTTAAGAACCTGACTGATTTCTCTATTGTCCTAAGACCCAGGGGTTTGGGTCTGTGATCACTTTGTAACCAATTGGTTAGGATATTATTCCCAAGCCTCCCCAGGAAAGGCAGTGTAAGGGCTTGGAAGGATATTTTGGGGGAACAGGAACTCCAAGTGGTCCTTTCCCTGATTTTTTGTTAAATCACTTGGTGGGGGCAGCGTACCCTCCAAGGCCAAATAATTTGTGCCTTGGGAAAGTTTTAACCTAAGCTGGTAGAAGTAAGTTTAGGGTGTCTTTCATGCGGGTCCCCACATCTGTACCCTAGAGTTCAGAGTGGGGAGGGAACTTTGACAAGGGGTCATCTAATTAATAGGCAGCAGGTTTAAAACAAATATAAGAAAGTACTTCTTCACAAAACATACAGTCAACCTGTGGAACTCATTGCCAGCGATGTTGTGAAGGCCAGAACCATAACTGGGTTCAAAAAAGAATTAGATAAGTTTATGGAGGATAGGTCCACCAATGGCTATTAGCCAAGATGGTCAGGGATATAACCCCATGCTCTGGGTGCCCCTAAGCCTCTGACTGCCAGATGCTGGGAAAGAAGAAAAGGGGATGAATCACTTGATAATTGCCCTGTTCTGTTCATTCCCTTTGATGCATCTGGCATTGGACACTGTTGGAAAACAGGATACTGAGCTAGATGGACCATTGGTCTGACCCAGTATGGCCATTTTTATGTTCTTATTTGTGAGACAGCAGTGAAATGGTGGATATGATTCTCGGTTCTATTCCTGGCTCTGGGAGCAGTGTGGTCCAGTGGTTTAGAAGCAGAATAACTAAGCTCATGATTTTGGCACATTTATTTTGAAAGGTTGAGTGGAATGGACTTGAGGCTGTAATGTTAGAGACCTGGGTTCTCTTCCTAGCTTTGCCAATGCCCAGGTCTGCCAGACCTTGTATAACCTTTGTTTTCTTATATGTAAAATGGTGGAATGACCGTTTCTGCCTCCGGAGCTGAAGATGTGAGGTCAGTAATAAGACCTGTGAGCTGTACAGAAATATTACCAGCATTCAGTCATTGAGACCAAACCTTCTGGCTCCCAGCCCAGTGCAAGTTTCCCCGGTATAAAGGATATTTGGAATATCTTTATATTTTAGTTTAAAATTACAATAAAAATACATTAAGATTGCAAAGTCTAACACAAAATTAGGAAATGCTCGAATCAAGATTGCTCCCAGCACCTTAATTTGGCCCCTTTGTGCATCTGTATTATGATGCAGTCTTTAATTATATGATCACATATTATTTTTTCCACAAGACCCTTGTCTTAAGGATGGAATCTTCAGAAAATTTAGCTGCCACTCTAACAAACATCTGCTGAACATATGTGAATTTGAGATTTTTTTAGTGAAGTTTATAACTTGGCCAGATTTGGGCTGATTTTCATAATGATGGCACAAGGCACATCACTATCAAAAAGGGCACCGCATTGCCAAATTTCTAAGTCCTGGCCCCAAGTATGCAGATGGTAAAGCTCTTCAAGGAAAAGGTCATCAGAATTTATTTTTAGCACAGGTAAAATAATGAATTTTTCTGTAACCTCATTCTCAGAAACAGCTGAACCATTTTAGCTTTCAAACTTTCCAAACTACTTCGGCCTGACGCAGACACCAGGCATGGAAAATTTCAGCCCTAAAGGTTATAGTGCTGCAAAGATATGAGCAGCTGAAAACTGGATCATGTACTGGGACGTGTCAGGCGTGTAATAATAAGGGCTGGGAGAGTTTGACACTTTGCCTGCCAAATGCATGAGTGTCATGTGAAAGGTGTCACACTTGACAGGCCTTCATGGGCCAAGTGCCCTTGTCCTCTCCTTCTCCACCTTAAAAAAACAAAGCCAAACCACATCATACAATTATTTGGTCCAGGCTTACTGAAAGGTTGGGGGTCTCAGCTTATCCTGTAGATTGGGGTGGGTGAACTACAGTGCCATTTTAAGCTGGCCCGCGAGCTCCCACTGGGGCGCTGGGTCAGGGGCTGCACCATGCAGCTCCCGGAAGCCGCGGCATGGCCCCACTCCAAGGGTCGGGGCTGCTCCACAAGTAGGAGCCGAAGAAGGGACATGCCACTGCTTCCGGGAGCTGCTTGAGGTAAGCGTCGCTTGAAGCCTGCACCCGAGCCTCTCCCCATGCCCCAACTCCCTGCTCTAGCCCTGATCCCCCTCCCACTCTCCAAACCCCTCGATACCGGCAGGGAGCACCCTCCTGCACCCCAAACCTCTCATCCCCAGCCCCACCCCAGAGCCCGCACGCCCTGCTGGAACCTGCTCCCCTGCCTCAGCCCTGATCCCCCTCCAAACCCCTCGCTGCCAGCTCACAGCACCCTCCTACACCCCAAACTCATCCCCAGCCCCACCCCAGAGCCTGCACCCCCAACCAGAGCCCTAACCCCTCCACACCCCAACCCCAATTTTGTGAGCATTCATGGCTCGCCATACAATTTCTATTCCCCAATGTAGCCCTCAGGCCAAAAAGTTTGCCCACCCCTGCTGTAGATACTACATGTATGTCTGTGTGTGGGGCAGAAGCTCTTGCCCAAGTGGAGGAGTGCATAGGTCAATTGATCTTGGAGGCCTGTTGACTCTGGGCATCTAGGAAGTTGAGGAGGCTCCCCCCTCACTACTGCCACTCTGGTATGACACCTGCTCCCCTCCCTCACTACTGCCCCAGGTCTGACACCCGCTCCCCTCCCCCCACCACTACTGCAGCTCTGGTCTGACACCCGCTCCCCTCCCACTACTGCCCCTCTGGTCTGACACCCGCTCCCCTCCCTCACTACTGCCCCAGGTCTGACACCCGTTCCGCTCCCCCCACCACTACTGCCCCTCTGGTCTGACACCCGCTCCCCTCCCACCACTACTGCCCCTCTGGTCTGACACCCGCTCCCCTCCCCCCACCACTACTGCCCCTCTGGTCTGACACCCGCTCCCCTCCCCCCACCACTACTGCCCCTCTGGTCTGACACCCCACTGCCCCTCTGGTCTGAAACCCACCCCCCTCCCCCCACCACTACTGCCCCTCTGGTCTGACACCCCCCCCCCGCGCCCCTCCCCCACCACTATCCCTCTGTCTCCCCTCCCACTACTACTGCCCCTCTGGTCTGACACCCGCTCCCCTCCCCCCACCACTACTGCCCCTCTGGTCTGACACCCGCTCCCCTCCCCCACCTCCCCCCACCACTACTGCCCCTCTGGTCTGACACCCGCTCCCTCCCCCCCCCACTACTGCCCCTCTGGTCTGACACCCACTACTGCCCCTCTGGTCTGACACCCACTCCCCTCCCACTACTGCCCCTCTGGTCTGACACCCGCTCGCCCCCACCCCGCCTTCTCGGTCTCCTCGGCGCCCCTCCCGTTCCATCAGGCAGGGCCAGGAGCCCGGTTGGGTAGCCCAGGAGGCGTCTCCGGCAGCAGCCTCCGCCCAGCCACCTGGCTGCTGCTGTAGCGGCCGCAACGACACCCCCTTTGTCACCATTCCCCGGGAAACCGGCGCCTTGTGCTTTGGGCCGCGAGCGGCAGCCGGTCCGGGAGCAGCAGGGGCAGCCGCCTGCCCCAGACAAACACAAGGGCTCCCTCCTGCTGCTGCTGCTGCTGGGGACACGTCATGGTGAATAAATAAATAAATAAATAAATAAATCCACTCACCCAGTGGCAGCGAGAGGAGCCGGCGGCGGGATTAGATCCAGCCCACCGAGCCCAACCTAGAGACCAGGTAACGTAACCGACCCCTCAGGAGGGAGGAGGCGGAGGCGGCCGCTTATCTCGGCGCTTGCCTGGGCGGGAAGGGGGCTAGCACCCGGGCTAGTGTGCGTGCCCATCGTGCGTGCCGGCTGCTGCCCCCGCAGTGTGGGCAGCGGGCCGGGAGTCGCTCTCAGACACGCGCTCCAGAGCCTCTGCTGCCGACGCTGGGGTGTGAGTGGGATGCAGGCGGCCCAGTGGGCTCGCTTACTGACACCCACCCTGCACAAACAGCGGCTGGCATTGGCTTGTGTGCGGAGAGAGGATGCCCAAGCAGGCTCGCTCATTGCCACAGAACCCCCCCCCCCCCACACACACACACACACACGAGCTGCTGCCCTTGGGTTGTGGGCAAGGGGCAGGTATCCCAGCACAGCCTCAGTCACTGCGCCAGGGGCACACCACAGTTGCTGCTGCCCTTGGATTGTGGGCAAGGGGTGGGTACCCTAGCACGTGACAGCCTCAGTCTCTCTCTCTCTCTCACACACACACACACACACACACGGCACCACTACAACTGCTGCTGCTCTTGGATTGTTTGTGAGCTGCAGGTTCCCCCCCGCCCCACTGCCAGCCGCTGCCGCAGGCATACACAAAGAGCGGCGGCCAGCGCTCTCTCCCATCCCCGCAAGCTGAAGTGCCCCCGTGTGGCGGTGGCTTGGGCACCCGGCGCCCCTTCCCCCCCGCCAGTCTCCGGAGCCGCGGAGAGAAGCGCAGAAGCCGCCCCCGCTGCGCGGCCCCGCACCATGGCGCGCTGTAGGGCGCTGACGGTGGGGCCGCTCCACCCCCCAGGGGATGCTTCTCTGAGCGCGGGGCCGGGGCCATTCCTGTGACTGCCCCTTATTCTGAGGCGCTAGCCGCGTTGGGAACCGCTGCTTGGCAGCGCCGGGGGGAGAGGAGGCGAGCGCGCTTGGCTCACGCCTTTGTGTCTGCGCTGCAGCATCACTACGCGCCTCCTTGGCGCTCTCATCACACAGCCCGGCCCCCGTCTCCTCCCCCGCGCTGGAGCTGCCCCAGGCTGGGCGTGCTACTGGGCAGACCACGGGCCGCCGTGGCCCGTCTCGTTGTCAGCGCCCTACAGCAACTGGCTTGCCCAGGGGCAGAGCCGTGGGGGGCAGCTGCCAGACAGGGACGCGCCCGCGGGCGGTGGCTGGCGATGCTCAGCGGGCGTGGCGGCTGCTTCGGCCCCTCCCCTACCGCGCACCCGGCGGTGGCCAGTAGGAAGCGGCGCGGAGGCGGCGGCTGGCCGCTGGAGAGGAATGGAGGATGAGGACGGGAACCGGATGCGCCTGGGAGGGGAGGTGGGCTCGGCCGCCCCGCATTGCCCGGTTGGTTCGTTCAGGGGAAGTTGGGGCCGCGTGGAACCCAGCCCTGCAGTGCAAGGGCTCGCTGGAGGTGGCTGTGATGCCTGCCGCCCGGAGAGACTGCCCGAGTCTAGCGCTCACTGTACCAAGGCACTTGCACACTGGGGAAGACTCCAGAGGGAAACGTGGGAACTTCTAAAAACAACAACTCGATCAATTTATTATTCTGAGAGGTGGGGCTGAAGGAAGTAGAGATCTGTCTCCTGAGCTGTGGAAAAATTCGGCCAGAATAAGTCTCCCGACTCTGCAGCTCTTATGTATTGCTCTGATTACTACTACAATCATTCTGGTGTTGGTTATGGTGGATGATATTTATTGATCCAACGGTGTCACTGGCACTGTATAGAGGGAGAAGTAGACATGGGGGAGTTCATTTTGTTACTGCAGCTACTTCATATACTTCAGCATACTTCCAGATACAAGGGGTGCAAAGTAGTCCTAAAGTTCCTTTAGGGAATGCTTCCAATTTAAGGGGCTTCCTTAGCAGGAGGAGCATAATTAGCCCTGCTCTACCACCCTGATTCTGTTGCAGGGTGCCCTGGTACATAGGGCATCAGTGAGGCACTGCCATGCCTCAGCTATTTCTGGCTCCTGGAATGGCCCATATAATGTTACAGCTGAAGCACAAGTTTAGAGCAGGTCAAGAAGCTGCCCACCCCTAAACCATGCTAGGTTTAACTGTCCCCGGCAGCCCTAGTATCCAGAAGGCACATTATCTCCTCAGTCTCTGTCCCAGGCATAATATCAACATGGGAATGAGTCCCTCTGAGTTTTCACATCTCTGACAGGGACATTTCAGACATGCAGAGTGCATCACATGCCCATTGGTGAAGTAGGAATCTTACTAAGATAATTGTTGGAAACCTGTGTGGTTAAAACATCTGAGCAAACTGAGGTCACTGGCTTGTGGGAGCCTTCCATATATGTTTCACTGGTCTGAATAGTAATTCTTTGTATTGCTGTAGCTCAAGCTACTTATCAAATAGTAATGAAATAGGTGCATACAGCTTTCTTTGCAGGAGTGGGGCTGTAAACTCAACAGCACACCAGATAAGCCTAGCAACATACCAGCCCAGGTCTAAAGAGAGTTGAATCATATGAAGGTCATGCTTAAATGCAAATATTTTGGACGGATAGAAAAAGTAGAAAGAAATTACAAGAGAGGGCCAATAAAGGAAAGGAAAATGGTTTATGTTTAAGTTAGTTATATTTGGTAATATTAATAAGATACATACTTTTTTTAAAAAAGAGAACCTTCTCCCCTCTCCTTTAGTTCTAGACTGCATATTAAAGTTCTTTAATATTGAAGATTTCTGATATTGTTTTTGATAAAGAATGCTGAAAAAATGCAGTTTCTCTGACCATTAAAATGAATTTATAAATTAATTTTGAGGGATAGAAACTGGTATCAGTTTAATCAGAAGAGAGTTGAAGATGGCTTTTTCTATTAGACATTTCTCTTAAGTGTGTAACTTAGTATGGAGTAGTAACTGTATGAGGAGTTAGTGGTAGTTTTAATTTAGTATTGAGCTTTTATCTTAGTGATTTTATCTTGTCTGTTTTCTACAATAAAAGCAATAGTTGTCAGGACTGCCCCCAGTTAGAGGTCATTTCCTTTATCATAAAAATGTCGCTCTACTAGAATACCCAGTATCTGTGTTCATTCCACCCATATTTATCCTTCAAAATACACCTTTACATTTCCCCCTTCTGTTTTCTTATCATAGCCTTCAGGGGTTATAGGTAGGCTAAAGAGGAAATGTAATCTTAAAAAAGGGATGACAAACATCAGAGGGTGAAAGGTAAAAGACAAAGTGGAAGGCTGGGTGAGTTTCATCCTGGGGGAAGTATTATTACTTGCAGGGATTTCCTGGACCTTAATCTTTCCAGGTTAGCTAATGTAGAATAGTAGATCAATTTTTCAATGATATGCTTTTTAGTTGTTTTCAGCTTTATCTTATTTTATTGTTTAGGTAGTTACATTAGCTACCTGTATGCCATTGCAAGGTTGTGCTTATTGATGAATCGTAGGTCATTCCATCACAAAGTTGTTCTTCAGCCCTTGGCTTTGCTATTTTGTAAAACATTGATCAGTTATGATGCTAATACTGATACAATTTTAATGTGCATAAGAGAAAAGTTAATGAACAAGTGAATAACATGAGTCTCAAACTTAATGCAATTTGAAAATATAAAAGACACGTCTCTAGTTATACAATGTATACTTGTCCTAGAACTTGAAAATATATTGAGTTATAGGAATGCTATTTTGACAGGGTCGGGCCAGATGGCTATAGGAGAGTAATTTTTTTTTTAAGCAAAAAAGGTATTTTTTTATTTGCATAACACACTTACAAAACAAAACAACAGCATATGCAATGTGTAACACAGCAACCAATCACAATTGTTTTCTCATTAGCTTCAGGGGAGGGAAGTGTTCAAGCTTGCCTGGGCCCAGAGCGGGGGGCTTCCTCGACTCTCAAGGTCTGCCACCCCCTCGAGTTACCTGGCGCCACGCCCGAGTGTCACCAACAATTCCCTCCTCTGAAAGCACCCAACAAAAGGGGCAGGCTGTGGGGTGGACAACCGGGGGGGGCACGTGCACCCACATGTGAAAGGACCCCTCTAAGGTGGTGTCCGCAGCAGCAATGGCTGGGGCTGGGGTCCTTTACTCTCTCCCCCAATCAAAGGGTCAAAACAAAAGGAGCCGGACGGGGGCACCGAGCAGAGAGCCTCGGACAGCACCCACCGCTCCTCAAAAGCATCAAGGGAGTCGGTGGACGCCGCCCAGAGGAACTCCGCCCGGATACGTGAACGGACCGAGGATCGGAAAACGGCCCCACAGTCACAGGAAACTCCATCTGCCAACTTCCTCTCTCTGGTTTTATAGATGGCCGTTTTAGCCAGGGCCAGGAGGAGGTTAACTAGGAGATCCCGCGACTTTGTGAGGCCACGGATGGGGAGTGCATAAATAAAAAGGTGAGGGGGAAAATGCAACCAAAAACATAATAAAAGGTTTGTGAGAAGCCGGAACAGGGGCTGCAGCCTGGCACACTCCAAATATACGTGCGCCAGGGTTTCTCTCACACCACAAAAGGGACAAGTATCTGGGATGGGGTTGAACCGCGCCAAGTACATGCCCGTGCTCACAGCTCCGTGAAGGAGCAACCAACTGATGTCCCCGACGGGCCTCGGAACCAAGGTGGAATATAGGCTGGCCCACCGGGGCTCCTCACCCTCCAAAGGTGGCAGAAGGTCTTGCCACTTTGTGTCGGGGCGGGACACTAGGGTGAGGGTGTGGAGCACAAGCTGAGGGGGACTGAGTCATCTATCTGCCGCCCTGACCGGGAAAACCGAGGAGTCTGCTGCTTGCCAGGGGCTAAGATTCGCGATGTGACGGAGAGACTGCCGAGACTCATCAAGCCCTCGGATCGCTACCCCTTCCTGCTTCTCCACGTGGGCACCAATGATACTGCCAAGAATGACCTTGAGCGGATCACTGCGGACTATGTGGCTCTAGGAAGAAGGATAAAGGAGCTGGAGGCGCAAGTGGTGTTCTCGTCCATCCTCCCCGTGGAAGGAAAAGGCCTAGGTAGGGAGCGTCGAATCG